CGATTTATGCATGTAAACGTTTTATTAGACCGGCCGGAGGGAATCGAAGACCGCAGAAGCCAGCTGCAACATTTATCGATACAATTGGCAGAAATGTCTGCCAAGTGGCCACAGACAGTTGGGAAATGTGTGCCAAGTGCGCGAATGATTCTCGCTCTCTTACTCTCTCTCCCTTCCCTCTCTTGGTTTCACTCTACATATGCGGAGTTGCCGCAGCAATTGGTGGTTTGGTCCATTCGTTTATCGCTTAAATCTTGACCAGGCAGATCGCCTGTGGGGCTAACTGCAAATGCTCTTGTATTTTGGCCAACCGCCAATGGTTGCGGATGCGAATTCGAGTGTGAATTGTGTTTAAGTACGCAGTATGCGCTTGAAGTTAATTAATTGAATATAAATTAGTTTGGCATTGCCTTTTGGTTGAACTATATAAATTGACTGAGTGCAGCTAAGCAAGAGGACTAGAGGACTCGATTGACTTGAATGTGCTCAAGTTGCATATGCCTATAATCTATCTACTTTATATGTCTCTGCTTATAGATTGGAAGTTAATTGTTAGCGAGTGGCATGCAGTTTCTATGGATTTAAAGGTGAGAGTCACAGTTAAAAATTGGTCAAAACTCATTCCTTCAGTTAACAAAGGTGTATAATAAATTATAATAAAAAAATTTGATTTATCTTTCTATTTTTTTTCATGCGTAATGGACTTAAAAATAAATTAAATACAAATTAGTAAGCTGACAAGTATTTGCTACTAAAATATAGAAGTTGTTTGAATTCAATTCATCTAACAGAAATTTTGGCTCAACAAAAGGAAGCACAGCAGGTGCTTGGCGCTAATTAACTTGATATTTATATTAAAATATGAAGCTTCCCACCTCTTCCTTTCTCTCTCACATACTACCTGTATTGCACCTTGTACAAGAAGTAAAATTGAAATGAAATTCCTGGCATAGCATAAAAAATTCAATTTGAAAACTTTAAACCCATGCGGTGTCCGGCTGAGCCAGCAACAGCCACAGTTGGGGCTGGTCAGGGTCCAGTTGGTGCAACAGTTGCTGCTGCCGTTGTTGCCTTTGTCGCAAAAAGCAAATTGCCAGACAGCAACAGCAGCAACAGCAGCTAAAAAGATGCAAAAAGCGAGAGAAACAGAAAACGTTTTGCAGGGCGCCAGCGATAAGGAATTTAATTTGATGCGCTTTGGCGCCTTTGGCCAGCTAAACAGGAAGGCAAACAGCAGTTTGTTGCAGATACAAATGCAATTTCAGTTGCGAATACATATCAGCGATGTCACAGCGTTGCAAATATTTATAACATGCCATATCGGAGAGCTGTCTAGAACAGAATACAAAACAAAAAACCAAAATTAAATAGCAGACAGCTCTGGCGACCCCTGGCGCACTCTTTCAAGGGTATCGCACTCGACAACAATGCAGTCAGCCAAACACTTTGAAGTATGTCAATGCTTTGCTTGCCACATGTGCTACATTTCGCAAGAAGAAGGCGACAGTGGCTGTGGCCCTGTCTGTGCCTGCTTAGCCAGCGATAATTTATGTGGTTGCCTCTGGCTCTGGCGGCGCAGCGCTTTGATCACAGTCAACTACGAAAAATACTCCGCCCCGCGTGCAGCACAAATTCCCGTGCAACATCTTAAAAGCGAAAGTGACATTTTACTAATTTAGCATTTTGAATGCGTCTCGTGTCGAGCCGCGAGAAGATTTATTCGCAAATCGCAATGCATTATGCGGGCTTCAATTAAAGCATCTTCTACAAATTTATGCACCTGACTGCGCATCGATTGATTGATGGCTCCTTGGCGTGCCACAGGCCCCAGGCTCTGGCCCAGGTACGCAGCCGTTGCCCAGGCAAAAACTAAGCCGCCAACAGGTTGTTAGCGCTCCATAAAGATAGCCATCGCGGCCAGAGAAGGCGTGCAGCCAGCGAACCTGAGCTACAAGCTAACTTTAAGATTATCAGACTTCCCTTCTTATATTTTATTGCTATGTTTACATATCGTAGACCAATTATTTTGATTATTCATATCAGCGTTGCCTATGGGAAATATTTTCTCTTCATGTGTAGCAAGTATAATAAGCTTAGGGCGTTACTTGACTTAGTTATATATTTAGATTGTGCCTCTAAAGGGCATTTCTTATGTATCTCTTTTTCAGTTAATCTATCAGTTAGTAACCAAAACAGAAACGTTATAAAATACTTCTCTGCCACACATGTCCATACCTATATATATATATTCGTAGCAGACAGGAGTCTGCCTTAAGGCCAACGCAGTTTAGTCTTCAATTTGATCATTTTTGAAAACAAATAAATGATTTTAACTAGACAACTCTTACTTAGTTCACTCAAGAATTAAATACTAAAAGCTTTAAGAATATTTATAAAAATTCTATACATAAATAAATACAAATAAGTGAATACAAATTAGGAAATTAAATTTGGAAATCTAGTCTAGAGTCTAAAGCTAAAGCCAAAAACCAAAAAATATATGGAAAAGCAAATGCTAGAATATCGTGTATATATTTATCATATATAGCATATATCATATATTATATGTTATATATTATGTTATTGCTATCTATCAATGTTAATTTGAATAATAAGAAAAAGTTGCTAATATCTTAAAGTCTTCACTTCAGTTGAATAAGCTTCACCAAAAACCAACTCAGCTTTAAACACAGAGCACAAATACAACATAAACTAAATACAGTAGCTGACAAAAGTATCTACACGACATTTCTATTTCCCTTCAAGTGCAATTCCAACTAAATTTTGTGTGTTGAAAGCAGGCACTAAATGGTTTATGTGATTATAGAACAGTTGGAAAACTGAATTGATTTATGAGAATATTGTCATGTGACTTAGTATAAAAATGAAAGCATTTATATTTCGACTCGTTTTAACAAATGTTTTTTCAACTATTTTGCAATCCAGAGAAATCCTTATAAAATGCCATAGATATTCACAAAAAATTCTTATAGTTTTCGGCTTTTTCAATGACCCAAATAGGCAGCAGCAGCGGCGACCCATTGAGAAAGATGAATGACTGAGCATCATTCATTGGCAGGGCTCAGCAGCATCCATTTCGCATCTCGTTCAATTCTATGGCCATTGACAAACAATACGACAAATTGGTTTTTGTGTTTTTGGGCCATATTCGGTTTTGCAATTTGTGCAAATTGTTTTACACAAAATATTTGCACGGCTAAAGCCAGAATTTCAGATAGCTGAATGGGTATATAAATATATATATATATATATATATATATATATATATATATATATATATATATATATATATATATATATATATATATATATATATATATATATATATATATATATATATATATATATATATATGTCATATGCCTGGCATTTATATCGGTCATTAATGTTAAAGTTTTGTTGCACTTCAACTGCGTATACACTATAAATTATTGCATACAAATCGATGCCACACACTCTCCTTCTGGTGGCTCGTCGCTTTTTGTGTGTCAGCGATTTTTGCGCATTTTGTGCAAACATTTGAAAATATCGCCTCGCTCAATGCTTTTCGCATTCAGCAACGAAATTAATTGCGTAAATTGTATTAAATGTTTCGCCATGGGCAGCAAACAGCGCAAATTTTAATTGAATGCCTTTTGTTTGGCCAGCTCCAATGTTGTGTTTTTGCCGCTTCGATTCGATTCAGTTCGGTTCAGTGCTGTGTGGCATGGCTCCACTTAAATGCAAATCGAGTGCTCTAATACAGAAAGCTGCACGGAAAAAATTCCAATCTCTAGCACTGTCCAAAAGCCGCCTCATCGGACAAACATTTGCCTTTTGTTTCACTAATTGGCTTATGTTTGCATTATGTCAAAAACTGATATATCAAATTGGTTATCTCTTGCCTTGCTATGATTGCAGCAAGTGCTACGCTGCGAGAAAAGGATTTAGCACAAACAACAAAAAACGTTCGAATGTATAAAAAATCCTTTGAAATATTATTTATGAAAAAAAATTCCAATTTAAATTTGGGATATAAGCAATTGCATAACTTTTGTTCAGTGCAATCTTTCTGAAATGTTGAATGCATAAAGATATATAAATATAATACATTTAAAAAATATATTAAATTTAATAAATATAAATATAGCAAATTAATGAATATAAAAAATAATAATAAATATTTATATATTAATATTTATGCATTTATAAATTTAAAAGCGTAAAGCTTTACTAAATATTAAGAGTTTTTAATTTCTATTTAGAAAATATATTTTGACGTGTGAGATAAAAGAAATATTTATAATATATATTTATATTATATATTTATAACTGTGAATTAATTTCGAGCAAAGTTATATAATTTTTAGCTTTAGTGACTCAATTGCCATTAACTGTTTGCCTTATGAAAGTAGCTTTTATAGAGCTCCCAAAGCTAAAGAACATCAACAATCGACTAAACAAATTGATAATCAGAACTAAATTTATTTTAAGAATTATTTCATTGTGTCTTCATATTCAAATTTATATATATATATAATTCTTAGATGCACTTATAAATTTCATACTTGTTTTGGAAAAAATTGTACACTTGAAAAAAATATAATTATTAAGCAAAAATTTGGCTTTCCTGCAGCAGTCTAATCAAGAGAAACACTGTCTTCTCTTAAAAGTAAAGTAATATCTATGTCATCCAATATAAATATATAATTTACTCGCACTCAACTCAACTCAAGATTCACCCAGCTAAATAAAATTTGTTTATTAATTAAATAAACAATAATTACAATTAGCATAACAAATAGCTATTAATCAATATAATTAATATTTATGCCCTTGGCATTAATGCAACATCTGAAATGATAATCAATCAGTTGCATGCCACGCACTGCTCATTAGTGACTATCGCCGATATCCGCTAATCTCATCGGGTCGCTTCGGCTTTTTCATTAGAGCCACTTGGGCAGGGCATCAGAGTAGTTTGCCTTCAGTTGGTCAGAATGGTTGACTTGGTGAGGATTGTGCTGCGCAGCAACTACTACTATGGCAGGCTGATTGGTGTGATCAACTTTGAGATCGACGTGGAGACAGGTGAACCGCGACTGACGAAGCGAGCGACGATCTATGCGATTGTTATCAATATGTTGACCTTTAGCCTGGTGCCGTTCTTAATTAGCAGTCGGATTTGGCAACTCTTCTTGGTGCGAGCCAATAGCCTGCATCAGTACGTGTTCCTGGTGATGCTCGCGATTCGCGTCTGCTTTACCTTTGTGACTGTCCTGAGCCGCTGGTGGCACCGTCAGCGAGTCGTGCGCTTGATACACAGCTATCGTCGTCTGGTACTGCGGCACCCACAGGTGATGCGACTGTGGCGCCGTGGCGTTATAGCTAAATGGATAACAGGCTCACTGTCGGAAGGCATTCACATGGTCCTGGGCTTCTATGGAGTGCGTGATGTGCTTACGCCCACCATAGCCTTGGCCGTGTTCCTCATCTATCTGCTCATTGGCTGGCTCAATATTATCCTGGCCCAGTACTATTTCAGCTTGCTCACTGTACATGGACACTATTTGCTAATGAATCAGGAGCTGCGAGGAATAGTGGCTGAAACGCATCTGCTCGAGCTGCATCGTCGCAAGCACCTAAACCAGCTGAAGAGCTGCGCTCTGGCCGATCGCCTGGACAGCCTAGCTCTGCTGCAGGCGAGGCTGCAAAACTTGGTGCTGCGCATGACCCAAATCTTTGGCCTGCAGACCCTGTGCATCTATCTGACCTTTAAATTAAATTTGATCTGCGGTGTTTACTATACCTTCTCGGCTGTTAGACACAGCATTGGCATCGATTGGTCCAGCTGCCAAACGGTATTGGTCATAAGCGGCGCCATCGCCTACATCGTTGACTCACACTTAACGTACTCTATAACGAGCTACGTGGAAATGGTTTACAATGAGATGCTGAAAATCATAGCGCAATATCCAACTTTTGCTCTCAATGTGGATAGGCGTCTAATAATTGCTGTGAGTGGCTTATGGTTCCCCTTATCTAAACTTTTGGTGATCTAAATCTGCTTGCAGTTCGAGAACTTTAAAATGCAATTGGCACGCAATCCACAAAAGCTTTCCGTCATGGGTCTGTACAATCTGGAACGTGCTACTGTCTTGGGCATCGTTAGCTCTCTAATATCGCATTCATTGATCCTCATACAATATGATATCAAGTACTACAAAGCTGCCTAAAAAAGGTGTTGATTGATAATGGAATAAAGAATAAACTTTATATATTTATATGTCGTCGCGTTAAAATAATTAAATGAATAGCAAAATCTGTTGTCTTAGTTTGGCAATTCATGATTGCAGTAGCATAAGTCTCTGGCAGGGAGCATGCATAGAGCTGTTGTAGAAATGTTGTCCGAATGAGTTTCTGCCTCTATTGCGCCTTGAGAGAAGAGAGAGATAGAGAGAGATAGAGGCAGAACGCGAGCGAGAGCGGGAGAGAAAGATAGCTGTTGCTGAAAGAAGTCCCTACTCATTTCTAGCATATATCCGCTAGAGAGAAAGAGAGATAACTATAGCTGTTGCTGAACGTAGCTCCGGCTGTTGCTGAGTGAGAGTGAGTTGTCTATTTACCCCATTCATACGTACTCCTTATGTTTGTCAGTGCACGCGGGAAGCTAGTACAAAATTATAAAGGAAAGCCATCAATTTAAGAAAAGTTTAATATATAGCACAAAATATACGTCACTAAATATATATTGCTTTAACAATAATTATATTAAATTAAATATTAAAATTGTATTTTATAAATGTATATTATTATGCTGAAAATATTATGGCAGACCCCATAGATGAAATATGTTCTTGAGCTTCATTAAAAGCTGCGTCCTTGTTATCCTAGCCAACTCTTTGTGTTCTGTCTGCCATTCTATCTGTATAAAATCTGTGAAGCTAAATATTCCAACCATTTCTCTTTCTTTATAAGCGCTCAGCTCGAATTTGTTGCAAATAATCAATAACATTTGATCAACTGTAAGAAATCGATAAGTATCTATATTCAACTTAAGTTATTTGAGCACAGTTATCTGAGCTTGAGTCGCACTGTTTGGCTTCATGTTGTGACCCTTAAGCTTCGCCGCATTCACATCTCATTTTTGAAGCTAGACAGTATTGCTCTGGCACATACACAGGATCAGATATATTCCTTAAACAGGCATATCCGCCTAGACTAAACAAGCTGCCAAGCATCTCTCAGTCAGGCTCATTCAACTAGAGCTCTCTTAGACTACCTTACTAAACATCAGTCGCAGACATGACATGACATGTCGCCCTTGACTATAGCACTCTCAGACATGCTCAGTTAGCAACACACTTCATTCTCAATTGAGTTTTATGTGTCCACCCATCAAACTCTTGGGAACTTGTTTATATAACCACAGCTAGACAAACGACTTAGAAACGTATTAGAGCTCGTCCTGCAGTTTCAGCCCTGTTTCGCAGCCATGTACCAAATGCCAATAACTCAAAAATAAATAACTCATACGCCACGTGGAACTGGAGACTGTGAAACAGAGGCAAAGTCACGACTGCCAAACAAGAATGCGACGCCCAATTGTAAATATTTTTCCATTGAGTTTTATTTGAAAAGTTGCCGAGCTGAGCGAGGGGGTGCGCAGCTAGAAAAGCTGTAAAAACGCCACCACCTAATGAAAAGCAACCCCTGAGCGCAGCAGCTAAGGGCGGGAATGGCTGCCCATACCTGTGCCTGTTACACGCTCGTTACGTTTGATTTATAAAAGTTTACTTTTTTGAACAAGCTTCAGAAGAAATTAATTGCCGTTGTTATGTTTGATAAATTGCGTATACGCCGCATTGTGCGCTGCGCTTCTTTCGAGCTATGCTCGAAACGAACAATAAATAAAATGTAAGCGAAGTACATTTGTGCTTAGCTTTCGACTCTATCTGCATATCAACATTGATTAACGCTTACAGCTGCCAAGGGGTTGTGCAGCTGGATCGTTAAACATTTGCAAAGTAATTTTGCAGTTGAAGAAATATTTTAATGAAAAATTTCCCATTGCTTTCAATTTATTACATTGTTTTTGGTTAGTTATTTGACGCAGCTAAGCATTTCGCCATAAACCATAACGAGAGTGTGGAGTGGAGTATATGTTGCCAAATCCCAAGCTGAACAGCTGCAAAGCTTTTCACCTGCTTAAAGAAATATTGCACTTCGAGTGGGTTTCAACATTTCTCTTAATTTGTTTTGCAATAATGTGCCGCAGCGCCCGAATAGTCAAAGAAAAAGATGTGAAAAATGTAAAAAATAAAAACAAATAATTCTTTTCAGTTTCATTTCTGTGGAGATATTTCACTTTACAGCGCGGACTGTAGCTGTTGTCTTGGTCCTCGTCTTGCCTCGCCTCGGTACGGCGCCAACGGAAATGAAAACTTAACGCTTATTTGAACCTTCAACAGTGCACATAAATCACCAGACTGACGCTACCCTACCTATCTGCCCTAACACTGCCTTAGCTCTCAGCCAAAAGCAGCTTAAATGCCATTTTGTAGCAATTTTTTGTTGTCTTTCGTTCAGCTCTTCGCTCTTGCAAGTCGCGCTGATGTCTTTGCCATTCATAATTCTGTCTCTAAACATTTGTGTTGCTTTCTGTGCTGGGCATTATTTTGGGCATATGTGCGTGAAAATGTTTTGCTTTGTGCCTGTCTTTGTCAAGTTATTTGGCGCTGTGCACTTCCGTTTCCGCTTGGCACCGGATGCGGCAGACGCCTGTGGCGAGCACTCTCACTGATTGCAGTCGCCATATTCAAATATTCACACTTGTAGCTCATTTGCCATTTCAATTATTAACATTACGAGTAACGCCCCCGCCTAGACGCCTGACAGACCACGCTTCAAGTTTCAATAAAACATTTAACCGAAGTGGCTGCCTGCATCAGATAGCTCGACTATAATATACCCTTACCTAGCATATATATATATATATATAAAAGTATATATGTATGTGTATGTTTATGTATAAAGACAACAATCAACCCCCCTTGAAGAAGAACAAATGCTTCCGACTGCATTTAAATGGCTCCGATTCGCCTCGACCCTTCGTCCTGATTGCCCAGCCAAATGAGTTCGTGTCTGGCGCAACATTTTCAAGTAATCTGAAATTTTTGCTCATTTGATTCAATTACACCTTTGGGTGTTGTAATATTGGAGCTATCGTAAAAAAAAGACGGAAACAGCACAAGCCAAGCGCAAAAGATGTTAACAAAATGAATGGTTCGAACAGACGGCGGACGGACAGGCGGAACGACGCGTCGTTTTTATTTTGTGAGGGCTGTGAAATGTTGCAAAATAAATTAAAGACGAAGCAGCTAAATGCAGCTAACAAATGTCTTAAGAATTTCACAGCAACTTTAACAAATAACCTACAGAGCATATATATTTTAGGCCAATGCACTGCGAAAAATAATAAAAGACTTAATTGTTATATAAAACACAATTGTTTCAAGAGCGTTTAGAGGATAGGTCCGACTAGGAAATACGCTGACTGTAGGATTGAGCTAATGGGCTAATCTGTTAATTAATATTTCGAATTTCGAATTTAAATTATTAATTAAAAAATAATAAAAATTATTAATATAAATTAAATTAAAATTTGTAGTCAACAAAAATAAATTGTTATTTAAATTTGTTATTTTTTGTTATATTTTTAATTATTTTATAATTGTTTCATAATTTTATATTTTCAATTATACTTTTCACTCCACAATTTCTTGCAGTGTGCGCAACGAAACTGCTTCAATTTTGTTTCTGATTCCTTTGTTTCCTGTTTGCCAAAACAGAACAAAAATTCACGCTTCTTCTTATTCAACATGGCTGCTAATTTGATGCAACAACATTGCAGAGAGCAGCGCCCACCTCTTCGCCCACACTGTTAGGGCCGCCCAGCACCCCTTCAGGCTGAGAGGGCTGCAGTTTATTTGCAAGTCGCCTTTGGGGTTAGCTTTAATTTCATGCTTACTTTAATGCGAACAAGAGCCAATCCTCGCCAGCCCGCGCCATCGTTGACTTTGTGCTGTTGTTAACGGCTCTGGCGTTGGCGTTGGCTTTGGCGTCAGCTTTGGGGCTCGCTGGCTTTTTGGGGTGGCTGCTGGCCGCAGCCCGCGTGAGGATAACTACTTTTCATGAGCTTAATTTTAAATTGAGGCTGCGACGGCGGCGGCTTCATTTACTTTGTGCCTTCAACTTTGTTGCGCGCAACTTTTATGCGGACTATTTAGCAGAAAGTTGCCCAGCTGCCTGCCTGCCTGCCTGCCTGCATGCCAGGCGAGACGGCGAGCAAAGGAAATTCTATTAGGCAGGCACCAATCAGCGGCCAGGCGTCAAGGCGATGAGATATGCCAACCGGTTGCCAACCCATTGACTTATTAAGCCAAATAATTGCTTATTTGCACAAAGAGCTAGCGAGGCCAATTGCAATTTGCACTCGCCGCACCAAATAAGAAAAATGACCGCACGCCTACTTTGCGGTGGGTGGGCGTGGCTGCTGATAAACCATCCAAACGGGCAGCCTCCCGAACAGCTATTTACACAGCAACGCCTATCGCACAATCAAATGCAGTTTCCCAGCCAGAATTGCAATTAAAAAGTTGCCCCTCCTGACTTTAATTAAAGTTTGCAGCGCATGCGTTTCGCATGGCTATGAAAACTGTAGTGAAAACCGGCAAGCGGCAACTGCCTGCCTGATGACTCTATCAAGGTGCAAACGTTCAGGTATCTACTCATCGAATTTAATGTTTGCATTGCATTTATAATAACTTACTTAACGTGATTTCATTTAGATTGCTAGATTAGTTGCTTGGATAAGTTTTTTTGCGAGTCAGCCTTGTTCACAAAAATAGTAGAGCTGCACGACTTAAAAATTAAATCAAATGAAATTACATTATTCCTTATATATCTTTCTGTTATATTGATTAGCTGAATCGATTGGGCAAGTGTGATGGTTAAGTTTTCTTGTGTCTTTTGCATCTTCCTCTGTAGCAGAGTCTTCATGCCCAGTTTGTTAGCCTAGCAAAGTAAAATTTGCTGTGAGATATTCTTGATTCTTGATTGTTTATTATATCTTGTTTATTTTCTGCAATTTCTGGTAAAATAATTATATTGTTACAGTCGGCCGACACATCACTAACCGACAGATATAAATCGTCTTTAATTTATTTTGCTTAAG